ACAAAGTAGGCCCTTTCGTTGCAATGGTTTGGTTTGAATTTCTCATTTTCTCCCTAAAATGACACTTTATCTTGCAAAATGACATCTGCTTCTGCCCATGGTGTGGCCTTAACCATTTCTGTGGATGAAGTGCAACTGGGCTTTGAGTATTGGTATGGCAGCCTTGCCTGTGGCATGCTGGTTATTTGTCAAGTTTTGTTTTTTTTTTTTTTTTTTTTGAGTCCGGTCGTGGGGTCTGAACTCTGGGCCTGGGCACTGTCCCTCAGCTCTTCAGCTCAAGGCTAGCGCTCTACCACTTGAGCCACAGCGCCACTTCCGGCTTTTTGCTTATGTGGTGCTGAGGAATCGAACCCAGGGCCTCAGGCATGCAAGGCAAGCGCTCTACCACTGAGCCACCTTCCCAGCCCAAGTTATTTTTTTTTTTAAGTCTATAAAGGGGTAACTTATATTGTCCCCAAAAGCTTATCTAGTAAAGATGCACAGGATTTAACAGATTGGATTTTAGTTTAAAAGCCCACTTCTGCCAGGCGCTGGTAGCTCACACCTATAATCCTAGCTACTCAGGAAGCTGAGATCTGAGGATCACGGTTCAAAGCCAGCCCAGGCAGGAAAGTCTGTGAGACTCTTATCTCCAATAAACCACTAGAAAACTGGAAGTGGCGCTGTTGTGGCTCAAGCTATAAAGCACTCACCTTGAGCTGAAGAGCTGAGGGATAGTGCCCAAGCCCAGAGTTCAAGCCCCACAACTGACAAAAACAACAACAACAAACAAACAAACAAAAAAGCCCACTTCTTTGTGAACTATTGGCTGACTGTGTGTTAGCTACATGAATTCATAGCTTTCATGTGATTTTGGCTAATTACTGATTTTATTAAATGGAATTGAGTTTGTGGGAAACCAAAGCCAACAGCCATGAGAAAAAGAAAACCATTCAGTTTTCCTACTATAGACAAAGGTTTAGGGATTTTATGGATACCTTTGCCCCTCTTTTAACAGTGGCTGAATTATTGTGATGTTTAATTTTGTCTAGGCTTATTCATTTATCTATATGGAAAAAATACATCCCAAACAACTGAAAATTGTTTAATGGAGACAGAGTACTGGGTCTCCATAGCTTGAGGCTGTCTAGCAATTATGCTGCATGAAATTAGACACAGTTTGTTCCAATTACTTAAAATCAGATCACATGAAAAGTGACAGAGGGAAAAAAAAAGATAGACTTTCTCATTTTGTGATATTTAAATTATGAAACCAGAAATTACAGGATGTGAAGAAACAACTGGAATTTGAACTGAAAATATGAGGAGTGTCTTACTGCTCTTTGAAGCAGTAATGACTCAGGTAATTTTAATGATCCAAAGAGAATTTTTTTCTGATGCCATTTGCATAAAGTGTGAATTCCATTTGCTTTATAAAATGTATGTAAAACTTGCTCACAAACAGGCATGCAAAAATACTCTTGAAAAACACAGGACAGATAAATTACTGTGACAACTCTCAATTTTCAAAGTAACTAAAGATAAATGGCATAAATATTCATTTTTATCTAGTTCTGGTTAAATACAACTAACAAAGCAATTCTCATCTAACCCTACTGAAGAGAGACTGTTGATATATTTATTAATTCATTTAAAAAGTTACAGGAAGGAATTTCCATATAACTTAGAAAATTGTATGGTAACAATCATATTACAGAAAAAGTTATGGATTGAAAATTGCTTTTATACATCTATAACTTTATATGGTAAATAGTGTCAACATTTGAATGTTAAAATTTGAATATTTCAAGACCAATCTTCCAATCTTTATCTATATATCTATCTAGCTATATATTTTGGCAATACTGGTATTTTAACTCAGTACATTGAATTTGCTTGGCTGGTTGATGTTCTACCACTTGACCCAAACTTCCAACCTTGCTTTTTGCTAGTTATTTTAGACAGAGAGTCTCATGAACTATTCTGTCAGGGCTTGTCACAAACTTCTAGCCTCTGAATCTGAGCCTCCTAAGTAGATAGGATAACAGGTGTAAGCCACTGACACTTGGCCCAGGCTACAATTCTTATTAAGTAACACTTGAAGAACTGCTCAAGTAAGTGATCTTTAACTTTAGTGGATCTTAGAATTCTGGAAGATAAAAATTGATGGTTAGAAAAATTATTCCTTATGGGCCTTGGAATGTAGCTTAATGGTAGAGTACCTACCTAGCATGAATGAAGCTCTGGGTTCGATTCCTCAGTACCACATAAACAGAAAAGGCTGGAAGTGATGCCCTGGCTCAAGTGGTAAAGTGCTAGCCTTGAACATAAAGTGGCTCAAGGACAGTGCCTAAACCCTGAGTTCAAGCTCCAGAACTGGCAAAAAATAAAATAAAAAATAAAAAGAAAAGAAAAAAAAGAAAAGTTATCCCTTATTCAAAGTTGCATGGTAATAATGTCATAGCATGATTGATACAGTTTAACAGGGTCATTAATATGTACAAATCTTCAACTAGTGTAGACATAGAAGTACTGTGTATTAAATTGATGTTCACTGTTCTGATCTTAGGATGATAAGTAAGAGATTCATTTGGTTTGAGTTGCATAGAAAACCTTCATAAAAATAGGAGTTACGGGCTGGGAAGGTGGCTCAGTGGTAGAGCACTTACCTTGCGTGCTCGAGGCCCTGAGTTCGATTCCTCAGCACCACATAAGAAAAAAAAAAGCCGGAAGTGGCGCTGTGGCTCAAGTGGTAGAGTGCTAGCCTTGAGCTGAAGAGCTGAGGGACAGCGCCCAGGCCCAGAGTTCAGGCTCCACGACTGGACCCCCCCCCCCCCAAAAAAAGGAATTACTTTTTTACATATGAGTGTAATGAGTGTAGCTTTTAGCTCAGGATAGTCATGAGTTATTTGTTGAATATGGTCTTAGCCTGGTGTGAGATTTGTATTTGGAAACAGTGGATTGACATTCCCGTTTTTAGGAATGAAGCAAAGAAATTATTAAGTGGGTTATTTGTATTTTTGGTGGACTTTGACAAAAAAATACAACCTGTATTATTCATTTTGCTGTTGCATGTGATTAGAGCTGTCTGTGCATGATATAGCTATTCTCTTTCTTTCACAAATATTTACTGATTTCCATTAAGCTAGTCTGAACTTTGAGGATGGTGACTAAGAAAGCAAAGATTTTAGAATTGGTAGATGGGTAGGAAGAGGCAGCCCAAGAAGATTGTGTGGCTGAAGGGAGAGCAGGGTGTGGAAAGAGAGGTGGGCAAGGCTAAATGGTGGCTGTTCATCTTGCTGGCCACAGTAAGCAGTCTGTAGGTGCAGCACAAGAGACGTTAATGTGGATTATACAAAGTATTTGTCACATCCTACGGTCGCAGTTAGACAACAATGCTGGAAGAGGAAGCGGAAAATCTCACTGTCCCCTGTCTCTGCTTGCCATCCTTCTCTAGCTAGTTTCCTCACCTGTAAAACAGAAAGGATGATAGATTCCATTTATGTCACTCAAAGGGATATAATAGGGATTAATTACCATCCTGTCTGTAATATACTTGGAGCTCTTTAGAGAAAGGCACTATAGTCCATGAAAGCAAAGCCTTATTCTAATTGTGTATTTATTGATTAAGTGACAATCAAAGACAATGCTTACAGGGAAAATTGCTATATATCTTTGCTCTCCACCAAACGTATCCCATGTGTATTGATATAGAACATATTTAAAGTTACATATAAGAACACTGAAGTGGTCATTAACAAGTCTTTTCAACATCTAATCAGACATTATTAATGAGATTAAAAGCTATGTTAATTAGTATTCAATAGACCAGGATTTAGTTTCAGTGGCACAGATAGTTAAATTGAGGGTTGGGGGGGGTGCCCTTTCCCATTCATAATAGAACAGAGAGCTGACTCTTCGAACAATTTTATCTCAGGAGAATTTATAGGAGAGCAACATTTCAAAGGAGCCAATGTCTCCATAGATGGAAATTCCATCCTCAGCTGACCTCAGATATACTTGATTATCGAGCAAAAGATGTTCTTGCCAAAACGAATTGCAGTGGAATTCTAGATATTCTTACCAGAAGGTATAGATTTATTTTTAAATTGAATTCTGTAATAATTTTTATCCACTCTACCTCTTGAGGAACACAGTTGCGTTTGTTCTTAGCATGCAGAGCATGCTGGTCTTTGACTTCGTCTCAATCTGTGTTCAGAATCTCAACACAGGTGGACATTCAGACATGGAAGCCAACTTTGATTGGATTTTGTTTGCACTTTGCCGAAAAGCTAAAATTGATAGCGATTTAAGCCAAGTACTAGTGATTGATGCCTGTAATCCTAGCTAGTCAAGAGATCTCAGGGTAGAAGTTCCAAACCAGCCCTGATAGGAAAGTCCTTGTGACTCTTGTCTCCAATTAACCACCCAAAAAGCCAAAAATGGAGCTATGGCTCAAGTGGTAAATGGTTTTGTGCTAAAAAGCCTTGGACCACAGAAAAAAATAAATAGCAATTTAAACAAAATACACTCACACTGATTTTAATCTTTTAACTTTCAGTGTGGTATTTTGGAGGGAGAATATCACACTAAAATACTGAAGGCTGCAGCTGAGATGGTTGGTGTGAATACTTCATTAGAAGTCTTCAACTCAATAAAAATATGAAATTGAGGTGGCATGCTTTTAGATGGTGAAAACCAGCTTGTCTTTATTTTAATCCTATACAATACAGCCACAATCATACTCAACTTTCTGGGCTTGCAACAAATAAACTTGTTAAAGGCTAAACTCAGTATTAAGGTTCTGCAAGTATCCTAAGTAGCTATTTATACACTTGACTAATCTTTGTAATTGGCTTGTCTTTTACTGCCATTAATTAGATGATGTAGTATTCCATTAATAAGAGTGACACACCTCAGCATTTTTACCTTTAATTATAGACTTGACTAGGCACTTAGGTTATTGACAAAATGGCCTAAATATTGCCTGCTCTACACATATCCTTTTTGTTCTCTTTCAGCACCCTTATCCTTCTGAAGAACAGAAAAAGCAGTTGGCACAAGATACAGGACTCACCATCCTTCAAGTGAACAATTGGTAAGTAATTTGTTTACTTGTTGACACACAATCCGTTTCTTCTTCTGGAAACCCACAGAGAGTATTGCTAATGTTTTGTATGAGGAAGCCACACCTAGCTGCTGCTGCCTTCCCTGGTGGCTTGGTGATCCAAAGGTGAAATGAAACTAGCGACTGATGTGGGAAAACATTTTCTGGCATGGAAAAGAAAGAATTGTGTAGTCTTCCACTTCCCTTGTGCATGAGCAGCTTCTATGCATAAGACAAGAGTGTGTTTTATTCATATTCATGAAGACTCTGAAAAGGTGTCACTCATCTTGGCATTTTTTTCGCCCCAGGATGATCAATAACATTGGTTACCATTCTATGTTTTAAGAAACATGAAAATGCACCATCATATATTAGGTTTCTTTAAGTTTTTTTAAATTATGTTTTTATGTGTTTATTTATTTGTGCTGGAACTGGGGCTTGAACTCAGGGGTTAAGGGCTGTCCTTTACCATTTTTTACTCAAAGCTGGTGCTTTACCAATTGAGCCATAGTTTCACTTCCAGCTTTTTGGTGGTTAACTGGAGATAAGAGACTCATCTTTGGTGGGCAGGCTTCAAACTGTGATTCTCAACTCTTAGCCTCCTGAGTAGCTAGGATTTCAGGTGTGAGCCACCAGCACCAGATGCCACTCAGCTCTAATTCACCAAATAACTACATTCCATGAGATATGCACTTAAGGATAGTCTTCTCTCCCCTTTTATCCCCAGAATACTGAAAAAAAATCAAAGTTTCTACTTTGAAATGATTAAAAATCTGATGTTCCTCAGTATTGTGTGATACTCTTTCTAGGTAAAATATAAATTCCTGATTTGGGGCAAAGCTGAGTTTATGTACCAAGAACCAACCAAAAATCTTCTGACTGAATGTATAACAGTGTAGCAATAAGGCTCTGAGAAAGAACGATTTATTGCCCTTTGTGAATTGTGCTTAAAGCCAGGTTTCAATAATCACCCAGAGCTAGTGTCATTTTTGAAGGGTATCGAAATCCAATATCTGCTAAAACTAAGTGTATCTAATTAATTGTCCTAATATTTTTAGATCAGTGTATATGATGATGGAAAAACATTATCCTCTTTGAAGTAAAACCCAGGAAAGACCAAAGCCTGGACAAGGGTGAACTGAGAATGCCAGTTTACAGACAGAAAGTCTTTCTGTTCAATACGTGTCAAAGATTAATATTACCGAGTCTCTGATTACATGGCTTAATCCATTTTGGTGAATAAATTTGTTCTCAATGTCCATCATACCTACATTAACAGACCCTCTCTGTTAGAGAGCCTGGGAGCCTTTAGGAGAGATTTCAGATATATTAAACCCCATTACAGAAAATGTAATTTCTGTCAATATAATCCCATGTATTCTTCAATTTAGTATTTTAGAGATAACAAGCTACTTACAATATATTTGCCTTTGGAGGATTAATTTACAAAGTGCACTATCTGCGAGACACAGACAGACTCACATAAGCATTACTTGTAAGGGTTATCAGTTTCTATGACCTTACCACAGCCCTGAGAGATCAATTTTTGCAGCCCTTTTAGTAGGCCATCAGGAACCCAGCAAAGGCAAAGTATATCTAATTGTGGTACCGGGAATTCTGTTGCTGTGAAGGTGTTTTGTTCGCCTATTTTTTTTTTTACTTGCTGGTTATGAATGTATGATATCATTTGTATTTTAATCTTCAAGACTGTTCATATTAAACTTCATCTTTCAAAAGTTCTGGGAAATACTCTTAAAAGTGCCATCAACTTTATATGTATACCCAAACTCACCCACTGTTTTTAAACTTAAATGATGAGCCAGTGTTTATACAACAAAGACTATTACACACATTGCATTTCCCTGGGAAATGTTCTGGTTTGAAGGTAAAGGAGTGGCAGGGTGAGCTCTCTCTAATTAAGGAGCACTAAAGAGCTGCCGCTCAGGTGATCTATCTAATATGCCATCTCTGTTTCTTGTGGATGTTGCTAGCAAACTCTATTCATAAACATAGTTACAAGAGAATAAATTACAAGTTGCTTTCCGTGGGCCCACAATCTTAAGGACTATTTCCTATGAATGCAGGGATCGAGAGGTATCAGCTGGAAGTACCCTTTCTCTACCTGCAAGATACAATCTCTACTGGAGATCAGCAGGCCTTTTAATCAATCAATGATCACAATCTGACTTTCTTTCTTTTGTAAGGAGAAGGGAAGAAGAAAATGCCTTTTTTAAAAAAAGTGGTAACTCCATAAAATAAATTTTCAAAATAGATGCAGACTTCAAGCTTCATGCTGACATTCAATTAGGTACAGATCTATAACTGAAAAATCACTTTCCTTTTGTTATTTGGCAGAGCAATGCAATTTGGTGCTTACCAGGCACTATATAGGAGGTGATTTTTCTATCCTTGTCCTTTCTGGACTTAGAAGTAGCTGTTTCTTTGCACCTGATCACTTTCCTGAAGTGTGGCGAGTAATGGCATCACCACATTTGATGTGATCTTAATGGCTTATTCATTTACATCCAAATTTTCTTTTTTAAATTACTATCTTTAAGTAATTGTACAAAGGGTTTCAATTTTACAAATCAGCTTATAAGCACAATTCTTGATTAATGTTATCCCTTCATCAGCCCCAACTCTACCCATACCCTCAAGTTACTTGTAATAGAATAATACTTGTAATAATAATAATAATAGAATTTAAAAAAAAGTTTGGGTCTGAGTAGGAGACACAAGACAAAAGTGGGGATAACCACATGGTACCATTTTGAAACCAAAGATATGGCCTATTTGAAAGCTAACCACCAGTGGAACTATAGAGTAGATTTCTTCTTACTTTATTATAATAAAAATCACATGAAGTTTATTTGAGAGCATGCATTCCTGTGAGGGCATCAATCTTGTTGTTATTTCCTCCTAGAAATAATAATTTTTAAAAATCATCATTGGTGTTTTAAAATTTTGCCTTCACTTCATTGAGCCCAACTTAAGAAAAAAATAAATGGATGTCTTTCTTCTTGGATTTCGTAAAACTTGTTAACACACATGTACATTTTTGTGTGAACTGTGAGTCATTGTTGAAGCGGTTTCATAAATGCTGAAGGGCAGGTTGGGTGTAGATCAGTCATAATTATTGGCAGCAACATAATGTATTGAAGCACACAATATGTAAGTCAAAATATAAATTCATGTCTAGTTGTTAGCTTGTCATAGGAACCCTGGCTGAACTGAGCTCCCACTGAAAAATGAGACATGAAGTTGGTGTGTGGTAATGACTTTCTTTCCTTCATGGAGCCCATTTTAACACCTTTTCATTGACATAAGCGATTAATGGTACCTACCTCAGCTAAGGTTAAAGGTAGATGGGGATTGAGGAAGATGGGGAAAAGGAAGAATTTCAATGTAAAACAAGACAGATTTGATTAAGAGAAAGTTTGGAGTAAAAAAAGTAATTGCGATGACTCAGATTTGGTGTACTCATCAGAAAACAAAACAAAACAAAAACACAGAAAAAAGAAATCTTAAATGACCAGCATTGCACAGGTGGTCCACACCTGTAATCCTACCTACTCAGGAGGCTGAGATCTGAGGATCACGGTTCAAAGCCATCCCCAGCAGGAAAGTCCAAGAGACCCTTATCTCCCATTAACCACTAGAACACCAGAAATGGCACTGTGGCTCAAGTGGTTGAGCGCTAGCCTTGAGCTGAAGAGCTCAGGAACAGCGCCCAGGCCCAGAGTTCAAGCCCCACAACTGACAAAAAAAAAGGCCAGCATTATTTATGGCACTTGGGCCTTGGGATGGAATGAGAAATGGGAAATTTATTAGATGAGACAATGTAGGCTAAGTCTATGACAAAAAGTTTTTTGAGGATTGAGGGCAAGTATGCAAACAATCTGGTAAAAACATTTTTATATCAATTATTTAGTTTATATGAGATAGCTGCGTATCTAAAAAAGATTTTCATAAGAAACTTGACTATATATTTCAACCTAATATCCGGTAGTAGACAGATTTAAAGCATAATCATTTTTAAAAAATAGCCCACACCATAAATTCATGTATTCTTACTACTTTGTTCCCTAATTATAAGTATATTCAAAAATAGTAAACAGTAGCATTTGTGAGTTTTTCTCTTTGTTTTTTTATTAATATGTTGGTTATCACAAATACTTATTGTGATTTATTGCAGAGAAAACAATATTAATATGCTGACTATTTGTTTTATACAAGTACAATTATTTTAAATTTGGGGACTAGATAATTATTTACATGTTTCAATATTTAATACACATAGTTAATACTTGGTTCTTTTTTTTCCTCTTCTGAATAGCTTACATTGGTTTTTTTTTTTTAGTATTAAAATTTGAGTGTTGAATAGTCAAGTACAAACTTTCTATTTATCTATTGGTATATTTCATACAAGTACTGCAGATCTGGGGGTTTCTGTGATGAAAACTTTCGCCTTATGATCATGTAATACATACTGGATACCACAGAATCCCCCTCAGTGGAGAGCTGGTCTAGGATACATTGAATATATTTTACAGTTCCTTTTTTTTTTTTTTTAAACTACTTTTTATCCAAATCCTTTCCAGGTATTCAATAATTATTGTTTTATTCTCTGAGAAGATGATATAGTTTTGAAGTGAAAAGTACATGTGATATATATAGTATATGTATAGACAGAAAAGTCACCTTCCATCCATAGGATGTATATGCTTCCAGATAGCACCTACCATCTGGTATGACATTGTTCAGAACGATTATGTCTACAGATCTCAGACTGGGGCACATTCCAGATCTTTCTTTCTTCATTTATTGCCTTTAAAACTATGAAGCATTCAGCCATCACTTCCCATTTATTACCAGTGAGGAAAAAGCATGTTGTCCTTAGAGATTTATGCCACTGGCAGGTAAAAATGTGAACTTATTCTTTAAAAATTATTCGGATCTCCTTTATTAAACAGATGCAACAGTTAAAGGTC